TTTGACTAGCCTTTTGCTGCTTTTGACTAGCCTTTTGCTGCTTTTGACTAGCCTTTTGCTGCTTTTGACTAGCCTTTTGCTGCTTTTGACTAGCCTTTTGCTGCTTTTGACTAGCCTTTTGCTGCTTTTGACTAGCCTTTTGCTGCTTTTGACTAGCCTTTTGCTGCTTTTGACTAGCCTTTTGCTGCTTTTGACTAGCCTTTTGCTGCTTTTGACTAGCCTTTTGCTGCTTTTTAGCTTTTGACTAGCCTTTTGACTAGCCTTTTGCTGCTTTTGACTAGCCTTTTGCCGCTTTTGACTAGCCTTTTGCTGCTTTTAGCTTTTGACTAGCCTTTTGACTAGCCTTTTGCTGCTTTTGGCTTTTGTCTAGACTTTTGCCATTTCAGCTGCTGTTTGTTCAAGTTTATTTTTTGGTAAATTTTTGTATTTTAGCTGCTGTTTTGCTTCTTTTAGCTTTAAAACCTCAGTTTTAGCTTCTCCAGCAAAGCTGTACTTACACAGAACATGATATTTCTCTGGTTTTAATCAGTTTTTCGGCACGTTTAGGTTCAAACTGAGCGCCGTGAGGTGCTGCCTGTTCACTGAGGGGTTTTAAAGTCGGCAGTAAAAGTTTTAAGATCGGTCCAGTAGCCAACAGGAAGTCCGCAAACCGAGAACAGAAGTGCAGCGAAGTAAATGTGGGTTTTAATGTCAGAACAGCTGCTGCRTTTTGAACTGAACTCATGCTTTAATCTAAAGGCCTGAATCAGCTTCTTCAAATGTTTAAAGTTCTGTGGATGAATGTCAACTCGAACAATAAAGTGTAAAAGTTTGTCCGTTAGAGTTCTTTTGAGACCACAGAGGTTGATTCTGTCTAAATCTACTGAATTATCAGATTAAATTTAATCTGAAGTGACGGGTTCGACTGAGAGGCTGGAAGGTGTTTGCTGATGGAGGTCAGAGGGCGTTCAGCTGCAGAAAAACTGCTGAAGGTCTAATTATTTTTCCACACCAGAGAGGAAATGACAGACTGGGTGGGACACACACAAACACACACAGAGAAACACACAAACACACACAGAGAAACACACACAGAGCTGGGCAGAGCTGCAGACAGGTCACAGAATCTGATTATCTGTTTGTGTGAAAGCAGTAGAAGTGGAAAACTAAAATAAAAGTCACTTTTCTCCAGGTTCAGTTAGCTTCACAGACTGCTGGGCCTCAGCTCTCCGGTCTCCTCCTGAGCTCACCAAACAGCGCAGCAGAAACCGAAGGTGTCGGCTGAGGTCTCAGTCTGAAGTCTGCAGGG